CAAACGAAAAGTGTTGAAAATGTTATTTTTGCCAGCGCTGCAAATGTCGCATTTGTGATTTTTATGTGACACAGATTTACGCAGACAAACAAACATAATACATAACTGTATAACGTGTGTGTGCGTGTGTGTGTTTGGTCAGTCCATAGAAAAAGCCACAAATGGCGCCATTTAGTTGTTGAGCAAATGTAGCCATAAAGTTGCCAAGACAAACGTTGACAAATCATAAAAATCGTGCAGACCGACAGAAGGAGCAGCTCTAAGCGCTTTTCGCTATGGCCCTATTAAATCAATCGGCCATAAAAAAGCGCTAGCACAATAAGAGAGCTGATAAAAAAGAGGGGAGAAAAGACCTTCAGAGTGCAGAGCTGAAAGACTTGAAGCGCTTCGCTCTCGCTCTGCAGCTAATTAGTCAGGGCAAGGGCTGCACACTTGAATGTAAACAGGAATGAAAGAAAAGCCTCTGGCAAAAATTAAATAAGTAGCGAAATGGTAAACGGCTCTAAGCGACTGCCTGATACTTGTTCAAGTATTTTTATTATAACCTGAATCCATGGAAATAGGCTAAGAAGGTTTTATTGAAATGCATGTAACAGGCAAAAGGAGGCGTGGCAAACAACATAAGATATACAGCTTTACAAGCTCACTCATAGCTAACCCATATACCCCTTTCTCTTTACAGACGAGCATAAAAACGCGGCTTCATTAACGCCAGTCAGAGCAGCAGCAGCAGCAACAGCAGCAGCAGCGCCAGCAGCATTGGCAGCCTTGCAGCCCGACTGAGAACGTGCCACATTCAACTGCCACATTTGTCATTTAACATTTGGCAAACGTATTAAAACACCCCATCATTGCCTTAATTAAGAGCCATAAAAGCACATTTACTTATTGTGACTGAGCTACAACAGCAACAGCAACAGCAGCAGCAGCAGCAGGAGGAGGAGGAGGAGGAGGAGGAGCAGGAACCGCACCAGCTCCAGCACCAGTTCGAGCTGCAAACTGGCCGCAGTGGCACGTCTTTTACGCTTTTATTTATGCCCCAGCCAAACAGCCAGTCAGAGAGCAGTCGAAGCACTCGAAGCACTCGACTCGCCCAACCATTTGTCGTGCTTAATTCATGGCTAAAGTTGGAATTAAGTGAATTTTACGTTCATTAACGTGCGAGGGTTGTGCTCCAACCCCAAACAACAAGGGCTCAACTATATATAGATACATAGTATATATAGTAGTATATGTGTGTGTGTGTATATGTGTGTTGGTTACTTTTTGCTGGCATTCGCTTTGCCAGACAGTGTTGATAATTAGCAGTGCGTCTAGTGTTGCCCTAATAACGTAAATTTGTGGCTTAGTGGAGCAGCAGTTGAACATTAGAATTGAAGTGGTTAGCGCACTAAGCGAGCGACAGAGAAAGAGAGACAGACAGAGAGAGGTGAGCTCTAGCATAAAAGTAAACATGGCGAGCATTTGATTAAATGGTTGGATTATATATATGGGCAGCTAAATATAGCAGCAAATATTCAGTTGTAAAAGTTGGCACAAAAGGATGTTAGCTAAGGATTTGTCTTTAATGCTTTATTTATAAAACTTAAAATGATCTATTTTGGATACATTGAAAAAAAAGCTGAATTCAAATTATACTAAAATTTCATTTAATAACTAAAGTTGGTAAAAAATATTTGTTTATTCCTTAGCAAATTTAAAATTTGTGCTCCTTTTTCTTGACTTATATTTTTTTTTAATTAATGAAAATATTGAAAAATTTCTTAGTTTCATTTTAATAGTAACATAATAATATAGTATTACTATATTGCTTATTACATACGTAACTCTATACAGCTTGCTAATCGGTTCCGTTCAACTGCATATAAATTACCCTTGCCGACTTTAAAAAGTTACCAAATACAATAAATAAAGTTAAGTTTTTCTTACTATAAATTTGCATTAGTTTCATAAAAACTTAAATTGCTTTACTGGCATTTTTTGATTATTAAAACTTTTGGCCATATCTTGAGTAACAAATTGGGCAGAGCAAAGTTGTTTGGTAACAAATGAGAAACTTTTTAATAGCCTCTCCATATGACAGTTTCCTGCATGCCCAAACTATGTAACTGGACCCAAAATGTTGACCACTCAAACAGCGAGACGCAGCTCCAGTCCAGAGTCGAGTCGAGTCTCTCTCTCTCTCTCTCTCGAAACTAAACGAGATTGTGCCGCAATGCTACGAATAGCCTGTTAATTAGTCTCACTTAGAAAATAAACTGCAGTAATTAAGAGAAGGCAGCCAAAAAAAAAAAAAAAACGAAAAAGCTCAAACGTGGCTCCACCCACGGCAAACGCCCCAAAAAGAAACTATAAAAAATACAAATATATATATATATATAGAGAAGAGGAGTGAGAGCCGCGCAGCGCAGCGACGGCAATGGAGTGAGCATTTTAATTTCAACGCTAGAATTCTAATTAACAAACAAATCCGACAAAATATACAGCGGCAGTTACCCAGGGGAGCGAAAGAGATGGCGAAGTTTTGGGCCAAAAAGGCAGCGTCGAGGCGATGGCAGCAAAAAAGTATGCTATATCAAAACGTTGGGCTGATGGAAGGAGAGAACGAAAACGAAAAGGAAAACGAAAACGAAAAGGAAAAGGAAAAGGAAAACCCTGTGAGCCATGATCTCCCAATTTAATATTATAATTGCTACAATTATCATTCTCATGCCATTTACACAGCAATTGCACAAAAACAACAGCAACAACAAAGCGTCGACGACGACGGCAGCAGAGACGACAACGACGACGACGACGGCGACGGTGACGACGACGTCGTAAAGAAAGCAACAAAAAAAGGGCAGCACGTCAAGTGACTGGCTGCGGGTTGCGCATATGTATGGCAAATTGAGGCAATTACCGGCTCTTCTCACCCTCAGGCTGCCTGTGTGGGTGTGTGTGTGTGTGCTCTATATATACATATATACATGCTATGCTGTGACTCCACCCACAAGACGATGCGCTCTCACAGCTGCACGCCTTCTCTTTCGCTCTCACAGGCATGCTCTCCACGCATGCGTTGCGGATGTCGGCGCCGACGTCGACGTCGACAGCAGCAGCAGCATGGCGGCGCACAGATGATGCCCATGATAATGGCGTTCATTATGTGAAGTTGACTGCGGCAGCGTCGACTTCTAATGGCCGCATTTTAAAATGAATGTCTCAACTTTTTCTATGCTGCCTTGACGATTTGCTCGACTATGTGCGCCAAATAATGATAATTTTTGTCAATTTGAGTGCAGAGAAGTGAACTTTTGAGATGTTAATTGTATAACTTTATCTAAAGCTCAGTAGCTCCATCAATATGTTAACAAATCCCCCCACTTAGTCAATGCACACACACAAAGTATGCCAGAACAAAAAAAAGATACAAAAACAAAAACAACAACAGGCAAACATTAATTGATTTGTACATAAACGATAATTTGAGACGACAAGCTAAATTGATTACAAAATGTTTTGCAGCTGTTATTATTAAATTAATTTGTCATCAAACAAAGCATAAAAACGTTTCATTTGCCCAACCAAATCTGCATAAAAGCAACCCCCAAATGGCTAAAAAAAAAAAAAAAAAAAAAATAGAATCATGTAGATTTTAGTTAGAAACATGACACAGAAATAATCACAAATGTTTGATAAAGCCCCTGACAAGGGTATAGATAACGCATTTGAATAAGTTTTATCATTCGACTCGAACTAATTGAGTGTGATAAAAGTGCTTGAAACTAAGTGCTGACAAATTCCCTATAAGAGCCCCCAGACTAGCATGGGTCTGGTCTGGGACTTTTTTTTTTATAAATATAAAATATAATTTCATTGTCTCATCGCTAAGGGACTAACAATTGAAACTATGTTTATCTACATTTACATTTCTCTATATGTTAGCAAA